TCTCAATCTCTTTTTCTGTCTCCGTCTCTTTCTCATTCTCTCATTCTCTCTTTTTCTGTCTGTCGCTTCCTTATTCTTTTTCTGTCTCTCTTTCTCATTCTCTCATTCTCTTTGTTTCTCTCTTTCTCTTTTTCATTCTCTCATTCTCTTTTCTTCTTTCTATCTCTTTCTCAATCTCTTTTTCTGTCTCCGTCTCTTTCTCATTCTCTCATTCTCTCTTTTTCTGTCTGTCGCTTTCTTGTTATTCTTTTTCTGTCTCTCTCTCTTTCTCATTCTCTCATTCTCTCTTTTCCTGTTTCTGTCTCTTTCTCAATCTCTCATTCTCTCTTTTTCTGTCTCTCTCATTCTGTCATTCTCTTTGTTTCTCTCTTTCTCTTTTTCATTCTCTCACTCTTTTCTTCTTTCTGTCTCTTTCTCAATCTCTTTTTCTGTCTCCGTCTCTTTCTCATTCTCTCATTCTCTCTTTTTCTGTCTGTCGCTTCCTTATTCTTTTTCTGTCTCTCTTTCTCATTCTCTCATTCTCTTTGTTTCTCTCTTTCTCTTTTTCATTCTCTCATTCTCTCTTTTCTTCTTTCTGTCTCTTTCTCAATCTCTTTTTCTGTCTCCGTCTCTTTCTCATTCTTTTTCTGTCTGTTGCTTTCTTATTCTTTTTCTGTATCTCTCTCTTTCTCATTCTCTCATTCTCTCTTTGTTTCTGTCTTTCTCTTTCTCTCATTTCCTGTTTCTGTCTTTCTCAATCTCTTTTTCTGTCTCTGTCTCTTTCTCATTCTCTCATTCCCAGTTTTCCTCTCTGTCTTTCTCATTCTCTTATTCTTTTTCTGTCTCTCTTTCCTGTTCTCATTTTTTGTCTCTCTCTGTCCCTTTCTCGTTCTCTCTTTTCCTGTCTCTTTTCATTGTCTCATTCCGTCTTTCTCTCATTCTTTTTCTGCCTCTCTTTTTTGTGCTCTCATTCTCTCTTGTTCTCGTATTCTCCCTTTTTCTGTCTCTTTCTCATTCTCTCATTCTCTGTCTCCTTCTCTTCCTCTTTCATTCTCTCATTCTTTTCTCATTCTTTCTTTCTCATTTTCTCATTCTGTGTCTCTCTCATTCTCTTTCACGCTCTCTGTGTTTATCGTTCTCCCATTCTGTTTCTCTCGCTCCATCTCTCTCTCTCTCTTTTCCTCCCCGCCAATGTGTACAAAAAGCTTTTCCACCATTTGTATTTATATAGGTAGTCCTCAAGTTATTACGGTTCATTCAAAGTTACAACAGCATTGAAGAAAGCGATATGGCAGTTTTCTTCATACTTGAGACCGTTGCTGCATCCTGTGATCAAAATTTGGACGTTTGGCAACTGGTTAATATTTATGACGGTTGTTAGATCACAGGATCCCCCTTTTACAACCTTGTGATGAGCAAAGCCAATGAAGAAAAAGATTCGCTTAACAACCATGTTACTAACTTCACTGCGGTGATTCGCTTAACAGCGGTGGGAAGAAAAGTAAAAAAATGGGGGGGAAACTCACTTCACCAATCTCTCGCTTAGCAACAGAAATTTTGGGCTCGTTTTTGCCAGAAATTGGAAAAACGAGAAAGTACCATCACAGGAGGAAACTATTTGGAAAATAATGGAATGTGCCGAAATGAGTAAGCTTACATTTGAAATTAGAGAACGGGAGGACGAGCAATATTATGTGGGACTTGTTTTACTAATGGTTAGATAAAAAAAACCTGTGAATGAAACTGTTTACTTATGTTGGAATAGAAAGATAGTTATTGTTAAGCTTTTTTCTTCTTGTTATGATACAGAGTACTATTCACATGATATATAAAGCTCAATAATGATCTCAATGTATAAGAGTGGGATGATTTGAACACTTTGGTATAATTGCATGTCGTGACCATTTTATATTAGAAAGATCTTTGTATATGAAGCGGGCCAATGATGACGTAATGAACAATTGATATACATATGATTTGAAATACTTAACCACTCTATGGATTAATAATTAATAATGGAGAACTATTCTTCTGGATGATTGGTGACATTATGGCCAATTG